TCAGTTATATTGTTTGTACACATGGTACTTTACATATATATCTGTTTGTTTAAGGTGTCCAGGTGATGCAGACAGGCTGGACCAGAGAGTGAGAGACAGAACTGGACTCCTCACAGCAGTGAACTTCAGCACAGGTACAAAGACTCTTTTTTTCATACTGTACAAAGAATCAAGAAAGATATTGGTTTAAATAAATGAAGTATTGACTTTAATACACTGATATACATTCCATTAAACAATACAATACTAGATCACCTACACATCAGTGAAGTTGAGGGTTTTTTCCATGCAAAAAGTTACATTTAGATATTTAGCAATATGACTTTGTCAGCTTTCTAATTTAATGTATTGAAGGCTAAGATATTTAACACACAGTGAGAACTGCTACTATTTATCCCTCAATATTGTCTGTAAAAAACGTGGTAAAAGTTATTCTTTCAGTGAGACAACAGAGCAAGCTTCTACAGTTGCACTACGTTTTGATAACAGTTAAATATTATTTTGATAATAACATACATTTCAATGTTGATGAACTTCATACTGTTCATTCATAATCTGATTGTCTTTGTAACTCACTGTTGAAATAATAATAAAAAAACATTACAATTACAAAATAATTATATCTACAGCCCCTAAAAACACAAACACACCTCTTTCATAAATAACACACTTGTTCTGCAATAATATGTTTTATGTTTCCTGTCATTTTTGTTAGGAAAGGACATGCCTGAAAGACACGACTCAAAATGTTCTCCTTCTCTGAGGGTCAAGAAGAACATCCAAGAGGAACATTAAAAGCTGATGTTATGAGATTTTAAGACCAGTACAGGACATTCACTAAGAAACTACTTTTATTGTGAAAACACAGTCAGCTGCACCTATTTCCACATCTACACTCCATCAGCTGATTATTTGTATTTGCCTCGCTTTATGAGCTTCACAACACTTGTACCTTGTACCGCATAGTTTTCAAGGTCACAAATAAATGGGGCCAATCTTCAGTCAGAAGTGAATGTGTAATCTAACATTTTCAGTTAGAATAATGGACGAAAGGAGTGCAAATACAATTTGTTGAAGTGTGAACCAAAAGTTAATCAAACATGTTTTAAATAAAAAGCACATATGCACAGAAGGTGTAAACACATTTAATCAAATAAAGTGACAGACTAGGCTTGTGCAGTTGGTATCAGCTATGGTATCAGCTCCTCCATCAGGCCTGGTCCTCCTCGCTGATGAAAGACCCTCTGTCCTCTCCAAACCAACAGTCCATCACACGGAGGTTTCTCCCAGAAGTCTCAGCAGCTCTCTGGACACCACACTGTCTCAATCCGTCCACACTGAATATGAGAGGGGGAAAATGAAAATAATAAATGCTTTAGACAATAAGAAATATAAAGTTGACTGTTGACTCGCTCAGTTTTTTTAGATTGTCAATACTATTGCTGTATAACTAATATATCAGGTTAAGAGGCACATTCAAATAAAGATTGGTCTTTAAATACATGTTGTCTTTTGAATTGTTGTCTAAAGTCAAGGATCTAGAACTGGTACTTAGTTTTAATGATACAGTCTGGTTATTATGCTGTTTGGAGGAGGCCTCACAGGTAAGAGCACTAACTAGCTACCATCACATGTACCTTAGCTTGACTTAAGTGTATTAAACGTATAATTAAGTGATATCAAAATATAAATAACTAATGTGATACAAACATATTAATATTTGCTTGATTCCAGTGTCGAATTTAGCACAATTGCATACAAACGTTAAGGGATTTTAAGATTCTGAAGTATTATGCTAAAAACTCAATAACTTAGATTATTATTTATAGTTTTGCTGAATAGTTTCATGTCCAAATTTCAGGCCTCTCTCATCTTTTTAAGTGGGAGAACTTGCACAATTGGTGGCTGACTGAATACTTATTTGCCCCACTGTATATATACAATCTATGGTAATAACCAGAAAAGCATGACATGGGACCTTTAAGGCTTTCCTCTCTGTTTATAGTATTTGTGATGCTTGCTGGATTGATTACTTTTTTATTGATAAAGAACTTCTATTGGTCAAATTGTGTGCATACAAGACCATTGTAATTTCAGAACATGCTCCTATTGTGCTGGCCCTGTCTCTCCCTAACATCCCACAAAGGAATAGACAATGGCGGTATTTCAACTTTACTTTCGGATGAACATTTGTACATTTCATGGAGAAAGAGATAATATATTTCTTCTCCACTAACTTAACCCCTGTAATGTCTACCCTTATCGTGTGGGATGCTTTTAAAGCATACCTCAGGGGGCAGATAATATCATATACTGTTCAAATGAAAACAAAATCCCACAAAGGGCGAGCTAAATTGGAGAGATTGACTAACAATATGCACAAACTAATGATCCAGTCCTTTAAAGCAGTCTTTCTCTTTATATGACCGGTGGTCCATGAGCGACCCCTAGAGAGTATATTGGTAAAATTTCACAATTGACATGAATATATTAAAATGTTAAAGTGTTTCTCAAACTGTTTAAAAAATACTAGTATAGAGTGTAGTATAGAGTGTAGCATAGATGTAGCGTAGCTACCATAGACTGTATATATGGTAGCTAAGTAGGTTCGTTTTACGTCTTACGTCATAAATTATCTGCGCGGCCAATTTGAGCGGTCAACTGACAAGATGTAAACGATTTCATCGTGCAGAATAATATCGACTGGACATGATGTGTTGGTATTTGCACAGATGGTGCGACTCAGGGTCGGCGTCATGGGGGGTCATTCGCGGGCCATGCCACCCCAAATGAGTCACTGTGCCCCCCCCAACGCAGGGTGGGCAAGCCTTGGACCTTTGCCGTTTTTTTCT